ACCTTCCAGCTTCCTTCCTGCCCTCCTCTATCACGGCATCCATCTCCCCCCGTAGCCGCTTCCTATCCCTCCCAGCCTATCACGTAATCTACCATTCACCTTCAAATTAGAGATTATTATGGCTGCCTTGTATTTCCTTCCCCTTCCTGCTGAGCCGAACCCCCCCCTCTCTTCCCCGTACCCGCATTCCCCTTTTTCTTTGCCCTTTTTCCACAATTCAACCCATTCTTCTCCCCACCCACCGCCAAAAAGAAGGGGAGGGGACGCACGAAACCCAAACAACCCCTGGATCACAAACATCTCCCTTATATTATTTCACTTCCCACTGTATAATTGAACCTCTCTCCCCGCATCCTTGTCTTAAGTTTGTTTTTTAAGACGCCTTCTATTAGATTATACTCGTTCATTCCCCCCTCCAACCTTATCTCTACTCCTCTCTTCTCTCCTTCCCGTCACACTCGATTTAGGAAGGAGTTTATCTTGCAAACATTTGCCTACTTTGTTTATGTAGACCAGGTTCTGCAGCTACTTGTTCCCAAAAGCCACTGTTTGCCTTTGTAATTGTTATCTGTGTTTATTGTTGTACCTCATTTGTCTCAGCTTTTTTTGTGACATGTAAGCTCCGTGTGTGCTCACATCCAACCCCCCCTCCCTTCTCCCTCTCCCTGTATTTTTTTTTTCCCTTTTCCCTCCCCTCTCTCCTCTCTCTCTCCCTGAAATATGCACAGAATAACTGAGCCTAAAGCCAATGAATTGCTTGACACTACCCTATCTCTTTCCTGCCCCCCATTATTAGAGCTGATCCCACTCGCAACACTCACAAATCCCGCCTGGTCTCTGTTTGATTAGATTGCCAACCTTTCGTAATCCCTTGATTTGATGAAGTGTCTGTTCCCCCCCATTTCCCCCCTAAACATACATTGACAGAGAAAGCTCTTGTTGGTTTTACAACGATGCAGATTGTTTGCTGATAAATGGACCCGAACCCCCCCCGGCTCTTAGGGACAAAGCCACTTCCCAGGTGTGGCAGCGAGGGGTTGATTCCCCCCCCTCCTTATTTTTCCCATATCCACTCCCCCGAATTTAATTAAATTTGGCAGGACCCGAACAGCCTCCTCCCCCCCCTGCAAGAAAAAGAAAAAAAAAAAAACCCTAAACTCTACACCAGGGACCGCTATCACATTAAATCATTACCACCTCGGGGGAGGGATAGGGGATGGTCACACCTGTTCACGCTTCCAAAACCCCAATACAATTAAATGCTGCGCTGTATCCATCTCTTCCAACCGGGTTTCCCATCCCAACCTCGTGTATTATTTCCATGGGGGGGGGGGGGGGGGGGGGGAA